TGAAACAGAATTGCAACATTTATTCTTTTATAAAATAATCTCTCAAATAAAAGGCAGCACAAAGTACTACAGAAAAATACAGAAAAGAAACAGAAACAATAGAGGAACCACATTACAATTTTTCACTGAAGCTTGTAAAATAAAGACTAAATATTTCTGCTTTTTTATAATTTAAACAACGATCTGTCACTCCAATACTGCACACTTGATAGTTGACATGATATTTTTCCCAAGTGTTCTAGAAGAACAAACTATTGGACAGCTGCTCCTTTATCTTTTGGAATTGCTGAAGGATATTGTAGCAGGTTACAACTAATCTGATTGACCATTCTCTTCAAATAGTTGGCTCCCACTGGAACGCTGGACAAAACCACAGAAATTTCCTCTTGGCTGAGAAGAGAAAATACATATATACAAGCTGATTAAGATAACATTTCTCTTAATCAAACTTTTTCACAAAACCAGAGTAAATATTATTATCCACAGACATTCATTTTTGTTTTACTCACCCAAGGTTGCCTGTGCATTTTTGGATAGTGAAAGCTATTGGAGATGTTGGATAACTGGCAGATAAAGAGAGTTCGACTTCAAACTTTGTAAGAGGCATAGAACTGGAGAACAAAAGGCTTACTCTACATACAAAAAAGAGATAAAGTTAATAGTTACATATGTCACTACCCAAACAAAGCTCCTCAGCATCCATATGAAACAGCTGGGAGAGGTAATCAGATTTAGGATGGAAAATTGTGAACATGGATATTTTTATCTTTCATCTAAACTAACTGATATAGTGATAATCTGAGCTGGAATCTAAATAACTTAGTAAATAAAAACTAATAAAGCTGAATTCAGCCTATTTACAATAACTTCATCTTGTAGATAACAACACTGATATTCAACTTGTTCTCTCTCAAAGACTACTTTACATCTTTTCTCACTGATTGTTCACATGGCCAGGTTTCAGATGGTGTTATCAGCTGTGCCTCTCCTAGAACAGAATGGCATGGCTACTTACCATGATTTAATAACATCCTGGATTCATTAGTATAATATGTTATATACAAGTTCTCTTTGAAAAATGTTTGGAAATGTCAGATGATCTAGAATGTGGCCAATGGACTATTCACAGGTACCTCTTTTTATGAAGCTTACTTGCTAGTTCTTAGCAAACTTTATTTGCTTCCAATTTATTTCTACAGACATTTTAAATAAATATTAAATTATAGAGCCACAAATGGTCGGAAACTAAATTACTTGGCTGTTCCTTATTAAATGTACCTTGCAGATATTCTAATATATTATTGTTTTAATTTTGTTTTTATTGTTGTGTCCCATTAGAAGAACATCACATAACAATTCAATGAGGGGCAGTGTACAAATTATCATTATCATAAATAACTGAAAATAACTGCTAACAAGAATCTTTATTAGATGTTTTTCTCATGGTATACCTGCATACAGAGATTGTGTGTAAGTACTAAGATCTGCTTTCAAAGCTTCACTGCTAAAAAAATTCGCTGTCAGATACGCCTGCTTGGTGTGCGTTTTTAAAGCTGCCTGTCAAATTTTATTTTGATAACACTTTTCAATTTTAGTTTAATATGTGTTTTAATTTGGTTCCGGAGTCCACTTTTTGAATTTCTGTTCTTTTATTTACTGTGTTTCTTTGTATTTTGTAATGTTTATACCATATTGGATAACTGTACATTTTTGTTGGTTATTACACCCCTTGAATTCTGTTTACATAAATTTGTTGACCTTTTTTTTTTGTTTTTGCTGCCTACAAGTCAGTCTTGACTCCTGGTGATTGCCTGGACAAGTCCATGCCGTTTTCTTGGCAGCAATTTCTGAAGTGACTTGCCATTACCTTTGTTCTAGGGCCGAGGGAGAGTGACTGACTTTTATCTGGCGGACTTTGTGCCTAAGGCAGGAACGCCTCCTGGTTTCTTGCCTGCTGCCTTTAACCACTACACCAAACTAGCTCTTATTTTAAAAATTACCATTGCAAAAATTCAATGTTATCAGCTAAGCAAAAAATATGGAATAATTTGACTGAGTTATAACAAATATTTACAAACTGGGGAGGCTTTTTTCAATTATTGTGCACCAAGCACATGAATAGAACTAGATTAGAGAAGCACTTGCTTTGTATCATTCACTTCAGTCTTCAGCAGGTAAAATTTTCCACCCCATCTGTTCAGAAACTTTATCTCTTCTCCTAGAAGTTGACAGCGGTTCACCACAAGAGAGAGATTATGCAGCATCTGGTTGAACAATCAAAACAATCATGACATCCTAATACACACATAGAAAATTTCAAGAAAATGTGGTTTGTCAAAAATGATTTTTAAAAAGATCCCTTTCTGAATCTAATTATTGTCTAGCCAAGCTTCAAGTAAAAAAAAAATTCCATTCCAATCACTCCCATTCTCCTGTTCCAGCTGAACTGCTGGAACACAGTGAAGTGTTTATGAACATTATATATAACTAAGCAGGAGTTCTAACACCTACAAACAACAGAACATGAAAGATCTGCTGTTCTGGATGGGTCATTAGGTGATACAAAAATGACTGATAAGAGAATACTCTGAGATGTTTTGTTTGCTAGAGAAGAAGTGGTACAGTTGGAATTCATTCCAGACAATAAGACCTTGCTTGGGGCAGTAGAACTGAGTGGTCTGAAAGGTGTATCTCAGAATAAAAATAATAAGCCACTCACTTCTGCGGCTCATCAAGGATTACTGTAACAGTGAAGTAATGCAGTGAGTGGGAAAGGCATCTACCTCTAGAATGAATTCCAGGAATAATTTCTAATGAATGAAGTTTTAGTAACACATTTCTCTCTAAATGCACCTCTCTTAAAAAGAAAAATAACCAGATTCTGAGGTCACACATTTTAAAGATGGGAACTGAATATTCTCATTAAGTTCAAAGAATGATGACAAATACTCTACTCTACTTCTATCTTTTATTTTAAATTGCATTTAAGATCAGCATAGCATTTAAGAATTACAATTCACAATTAATTCCACAAATGATTTGATTGTACTTGGATCTAGGATTTGCTTCCCATGAATGGAAGGGTTGTTTTTGTCTGTAGAAGAGATTTAATCCAACAGAGGAATTGTAAAATTCATGAAGGATATCTGGTGATTCTACCCTTCTCCTGCAGTATCCTATCATCATCATCTCCATGGAATATGTGGAAGAAAGTGGTAGAGGTTGCAGGGCATTGGGAACTGGTCATCGGCTAACTCTGCCTCCCTCCTAACTTATGCTTTTTGAATTCTCCTGATGGCAGTTGTCTCTTGACAAAATAAGGGCCTGGAACCAACCCATTATGGGTAATATATGGCTCAATATATTGTAGAATAATGTATGGCTTTTCTATCCTGAAAGCACTCTCAAAGCAGCATGTAGCACAATAAAGCAGATTATAAGAAAAAAAATGCATTACTTTGCTTTTTTCAATAACTAAAGGCAGATGAGTGCTACTGCTACTAAGCCAAAGAGTAATACTCCAACCCATAATTACCAATTAGAGCAGTACCTAGTTTTTCCAAGAATGTATACACTTCCCTATACATTTCTAACTTCTTTGTTCATCCCACAAGCTTCAGGAAAGTAAACCAGCAGATAACAAATCTGGTTTAGGCAAAGTTTTAAGGGCTTTGCTGTCATACCTGCTTTTTTCTATATTAATGTACAAATTCTAGGCTTCCTTATAATTAGGTTCCTTACCTGAGAAAGATGATACACTGTTGAGCATTTCTCTTGCCATGAATTCTGACTATCAATAAACTGAAAGATGAGCTTATGCACAAGTTTTGCAGTAGGCAAAGCTTTTGTTTCTGGAAAAACCACCAAGCAAAAGTAGCAAATTATTATAAGAAATTAAGTTACATTCAAATAATTTCATGTTATACTAATTAGCTGACCACTTAAAAAAATAGTTAATCCACCTGCAGTTTAAAAGTAGCACAAAGCGAAAATAGATTTATCTTTTTAGAATAAAAGCCACAGATACCAGCAAAACTGATATGAGCCCTGTTTTAGAGTTCAGCTAAACTGGACTCTAGCCCTGAGTGAATCCCATGCTGATTTAAATTGCTACATCCAGTCCTACATTAATGCTATTCTCACATCCAACATCTTAGGTTAGTAATACTTTTTACCTATTTACCTGTTTCCTACTTTTTTTTTTTTAGCTACTTTAAGAATCCAAGAAAAGCTGAACTTGATCAAACCAAGAACCTATCTAAGTCTGTTTCTACTAGGGCAGCCTATGGGAAGCTCACAAACAATATACAAGTCCAATAACACTTTCCTCTTGTGTTTTCCATTTACTTGTAGGACCTGAAGTTTCTGTATGTTGGTCACAAGTTGCTGGGAATCTGTCTAGTGTTTGTCCAATGTTTTCTATGATTTTTGGGAAAACCTGAAATCCCTATGCTTAAAAAAAAGACTTGAATAGATGATGCCCTACTTTTATTTATATAAACAAGTACTGATAATAGGAAATCATCCAGTACAATTTCACTGCCAAAAACAAAAAGGTGGCAAATTGAAACCCTATCAGATATCTACATGTGAACCATCTGTCATTACCTTGGGAGAGAACTCTGTAGCTAGAATGTGCTAAAGTAACTTTATGGCAATTTTTTCACAAGCATAAATATAGGTGTGTGGGTTTCTATGAAGAGCCCCACAGACCTTTTATGAACTCCAGTAAATATACGTTTCTTATAATGGTTCTAGCAGGCCAGGTAGAGGTCTACTGTTACTTTTATAAATGACTATTTTTATCTCCAGATCCTGGGTGCTTTCAGATAATGGGTTTTAACACTCCATATTCATGTCTCCTTTATGTAGTTTTACCAAGGACTGTGCATTATCAGTTGCTTGTAAAATCCCATCATTCCCTACAGCTTTGACTATTATTTTCCTAATTCAAGGATATTCTACAGAAGAAATAAAAATTTCACTACCATTTCTTTTAGTGGCACGCATGGGAAAATGTGTGACTGAAGTAGACTGGGAAGAGCTGAATGGGGGAAAATGGATGATACAACAGGTAAAACCTTCCTTTTACAATTGCTTTGTCTGCATTTCTGTTTGCAGTGCAAAATTATCCATTTTAATGCATTCATATTTCTAAATTACTTTTGTAGCTTGACTGTATTTGATATGCATTATTATCTTTAAGAGTTATTTGTCTAATGTTAATAGTTTTGACTGTGGACTGATTACTATCTAAACAAAACTTTTTGGGGGGTGGGTGCCTTCAAGTCAATGTTGACTCCTGGCAACTGCCTAGACAACACCCTGCAGTTTTCTTGGCAACATTTTTGTGAGTGGTTTGTCATTGCCTCCTTCCTAGGGCTGAGACAGTGACTGGCTGAAAGTCACCCAGTTGACTTTGTGCCTAAGGTAGGACCTGAACTCATAGTCTCCTGGTTTCAAGCCTAGTGCCTTAACCACTACACCAAACTGGCTCTCTTAAGTATAATTAAAATGTATTAGAATATAAAGATTCCTTATATCAGCCTGCTTTTCCTGTTTCCTTCCATTTCAGCAATATGTTTCACATGAAGAGTTGGAAATTCCTTAAGATCATAAAATATTGCAGCCTTACCATCCAATAATGATTCAAAATTCAGACTAACAATCTCCCAGGATAATTTGTTTCTGAAAGTAGCATCATCTATGAAAAAGCACACACAGAGTGAAGAGCATTTCAAAATGAGGTTTGGACTACTCCATTTCTAGTAATGTGTAGAGTTTGTATGACAAATACTATGGCTTAGTGTGATGTGTGAATCAGATTTATACAACCATGAGTAAACTGGATAACTTCCTAAGCATGTTTTTGATATTGAGAATATTTATATGGAGAGGCAACTGATCATGTAAGCCCCTACCCTAATCTGAAATTATCCTCTTTAGACACAGGCTGATAATTCAGTATTTACAACCTATCCTTCTAGTACAAATGTAGCACTGATGGTAGTTTATTACAATAAAAAACATAATTTCACAAAACAGTGGTACCAAATAGCCAAAAAACAGCCACAATAAACCGTTAAACTCAAATAATTTTAAACATATATTTCACATAGTAGTGCTGTATAAGCTAGATAAGAGTTCCTGCTATTTTGCAGCTTACCTAAGGGACATTTAAGCCCAACAGTGAGCTCAATAGAATCATAAAGGAAAGTGAAAACTGCTTGGTGATCATTCCATTCCTTTATTACCCACTCAGAGAAGCTGAAAGAAGAAAACATTACATAATCACAGATTAATTAAAGAGAAAACATTTGGAAAGATAAGACATGCACACATATTAATATTTGCTATTAATGCTCTCTCCACTTTTGAGAAGTGGTAAAGTACTTCTACACTAGGCTGCTAGTGCTACTAATCAATTCTATATTTCTTTCTTTAAGATACTTTTTTCTCTGGGAAGAAAAGTGAAGAAAATATAGGTTCCAAATGGAAGAAGAAAATTCCAGGAAGAAAGCAGGAGAATTCCATAGTCAAAGCCTTGGGTAAAAGCTCCAAAAGAGACTCAGACTTGTACAGGTTAGGATATAACTTCTACCAACAGCACTGGCTCTTTAATTTTAAGATTAAACCAATTTAGATTAACTGATATCATACGGTTACTCTGATCACTTAGCTTCAAAACTGCACAGAGAGTTGCCTACACACACACATATTCCTGAAACAGAGAACTTGGTCTTTTAACTGGAATAGGAAAACTTATGACTTTTATTTTCCTAGATAGCTTTTATGGTTACCAGATAGTCTTTTAGAGGGAGAAATTATACTATGTCATCCCTGAATGAGAGTGAATAGTAGTCATGAAACAACCAAATTAAACTTTAGACAATTCTCTGTCAAATGAGACCCTATCTTGTAATCATAGTTAAGTTCCAAATAGGGACAGCATATATTGGGACAGAATTAATTGGAGGGTGAATGTCATTACAGTAAAATCCTCTTTAATTTACTTACTTGTATTTCTCGGTAAGTTCTTGACAACTTCTTGCATCTCTTTGAAGATGGTTGATTTCAGAAATTATCTGTTGCTTTTGATCTCTGAGATCTGACTGATCTCTGCAAGAATACAACATGTGACTATAGTAGTGTTTAAAACCGATATATTTTATAGATTGCAAGTATGGGTCATTTTAGTGCTAAATATTACCTTTGAAGAGTGTCTTCTTGGGATTTGTAGTTTTCTAGCTCTAAAAATGAAGAAAAATACATTAAAAAATATGGAAACATGAGTATAAGCATAGCTATTCATTCTCCCAAGTTATACTGTAGGTACTTCCACACTGTTGTAATTTTCACTCCACTCTCCAATCCCTCAAAAGCTGGTGAAGCTAATCTGCAATTGTATTCATGGCTACTAATTCTGCATGATACTAAGAATGATGCTGCTGTAGGACGTGGAAAGAAATAGGTTATTTCATTTTCCTTACTCCAAGGGAAATAAAATAAATAAAATTGCTTGCATATCCTTACCTCATATTGTACGCATTTGCCTGGTCATCTGCAAAAAAATTCTGAATGGTTCTTAAAGCGGGGTGGGGGAGGCAGGGAGGACATGCAAATCTTGAAAGATCTGCTAGGACACCTCAAGCTCAGGAGCTAGGGTAAGGTAACAGGAAAACAGAACATCCACAAACTCAACAGAGCTGCAACATTTCAAAATAAATATTAATTTTGCTATACTTAAACACGGTGCAGCTAAGCCAGTAATAAATCAGCTCAGCTGCCTAAGGCAACCAACTTTGTGAGATGAGATCCAGAGCTGGTTTCAGATTGGTGCATAGTCTTATGTGGAAGCACCTTGAACTGAATGAAAAAAATTACGTGGAAATAATTTGGATATAACTGTCCTACATACAGTATATATACTTCTTACATGGAATAGGACATATCCTGCAGTACCCTCGTGCAACACTTATGTACAGACCCCAGAGCCATTGAAAAGTTCTTGCCGAATTGTAATTTTTAATTTAATAGAAGAAGATAATTCTTAAATATTTTGGAAATGATCATATTAACTGTATTTATTTACAGTTAAGCTTAGTTTTTGTCCTGGCCATTCACCTTTTGCAGTGTTCTTCTGGCATGCCAGGAAAACACTAAATGTGGGCTTTGGCCTGAAAAAGAGTGCATGAATCTGATCATGATGATCCTAGAAGCATTCAGTTCATAACATACAACCAAGAGGGACATGTATCAGGAGGTAAAGCCAACCACAGCTTTTCAGAGCATGAGCAACACTGAACGTGACACAGTCCAACTATCCAAAGCATACTTCTGGTGTATACAGGCGGCTATAAGAAAGGTAAATTCTGGCTAATGATGCATACTCTGCTACCAGACAGGCACCAGTAGATTTCATGTACTTCAAATATTACCCTATAGTAGTCTCCATATAGGAATGTCATCAAATATATATTTCTATGCTGAGGAATCATAAAACCCATATAAATTACACAGGAGGAATCCTATTAAAATAGTATAATCTTTATTTTTAAGTAATAATGGAACACTTTTTCAAAAAGAACACTATTATAAATGTCACTACCATCTATTCAAAATTAATTTTGAATCTTTTATCTCATTTAACTAAAGAAAGCCTGCTTACCTCTCTCAATATGTGTCAGTCTGGACTCATATTCCGCCAAGGCATTATTGGCATCCAACTCAGAATCATCCAGAGTAGCAGTTTCTAAAAATCAGGTAATGTTTAACAAGGACAGGTAATCCAAAACTATAACATACATATCAATTTAGTAGGAAATGCATTTTTAAAGTAATATGCTTCCAATTTTGAAGTTTCAGTTATATCCCAGAAATTGGATAGTTTTATTTAAAGAGAAAACAGAAATGCTAAAACATTTCAGGTAAGAATAAATTATAAATACAGCTTTTATTTTTACTATATTGTGTCTACAGATTGATAAGATTCTGAGCAGAAAACAGAAAACTTCCAACTGGTGATCATGTTGCATCGGTTTTTGGAGGACTGGTGTACATTTATATCACTGCAACACAGAAACTGACTTCACAAGATGTTCCATTTATAAATAAGGTAGTTCACCCATCATTAATAATATACAGAGAAGCCAAAGGCACTACAATCAAAATGTTCATTTTGCAGAACATCTAGCTGCATATGTCTTTTTCTTGGCATTGCTCTTATCTTTTAAAAACAATATCAGTTTGACAAATTATAAAAGAAAAATCACATTGTAGTCACCCTATAATATATATCAATCAATTATATTAGCATCAAGAAAACACTGAAAATTAATACTACAAGAACTCAGAATAAACAAACTGGGGTCATGATTTTTCAGTTGTTTCTCATTCTCATCTGTCATAGAATTGTACAAATTCAGTAAGATAATTTGTTTAAACTAAGTGCTGCATCTGTGGATTATTTGTATAATATATCAGTGATAAAGTGGGAAATGTCATTCAGAAACAGTATTTTTGTAACACTTAAGTTCCAGACTAATTTTAAGTATCTAGTACAAACAGGGATGAGATTAAAACATCAAATTTATAAGAAATCTAAGCCCGTCAACATCTATTGCTATTCCTCTTCCCACTTGTTTGCTCACTCTGTTTGGGGTAGAAGAAATAGTATGTCTAATTGCTCAGTTCTGAGCTAGCCGAATAGAATTTTATAGAGCTATAATTCTTTTGCCTTCTCTAGTTGATAAAGAAAATATAAACAAAGGCTATGGCCCAAAACCTTATGGAGACCATAGGTTGTGCCACATGATTGTCATTTTAATAGAGGTTTGTGTGTCTAAATTAAGTAAAGCAAGCAACTGATACTAACTTTTCTTGAAAACTGAATTGTCTAAAAAATTTTGAAGTTGTACCTGTCTCCAGAGCAAAAAGACAGCTATCCATTTCTTTCAGAAGTTCATCCATTTTAACTAATCTTGATTGTAGTTTTTCACATTGCAGCTTATATAATAAAGGACATTTAAAACATAATTTTTATTTGTAATGTAATATTTATATTATAGTATGTCTAAAGTTAATCTTGACAATGCCATCTAATAAAGTTTGGTTGCTAACTCCAAAATTTTAAAAAATGTAATTGTATTCAATTATTACATAATGTGTTGGGTGATGTATCAACCAAAATACAGATCTGACACATCCACATATTTAATGGCAGCATGATCAGGGTCTCTAATCTATTCATCAGTATGCCAAATGAAAATGGTAATATCCATCATGGAACATACTACTTACTGACATATTAAAAATTAAGAAAACAAAGGATTTGCTACACTTTTTGTTACATTAGTTGTATAAGATTACAATGGGTTTTGTGCTATTATGGGGAGAGAAAAGCTAGCAATATAATACTGAAGAATGCTAGTAATTGTAGTAGGCCATCCACATTATATCATTACAAGTTTAAGTTTAGATGGAAATAGTATCCCACAATTCATCTACATGAATTGTGAATCTCTATTTTATTGTTTATTAAAAATGTTTTTAAAAAAGTAGTCCCAATTATGTCAAAAGAAAAAGAATTGGGACAACTTCTATTGTGGTGTGTTAAGCTATATTACATATTATTTGCAAGTTCTGAATTTACCCAAGTTATGTTCAATTTGGGACAAGGTAACTTGAATTCAAATCCCTATTCAGATATAACTTTCACGTTGAAATAATCAGCAGCCTGGATTACACAGTATGTTAAGCCACAATGAGCTTTGTTTGTTTTTCTGGGAACAAGCTATTATATTTCAGACCATCCTATCTTATAGAATTGCATAGTGAAGAAAAAAAGAAGACAGCTCATAAGGAGGGTAGGATACAAAATAGAATTCTTAATAATTAAAATTGTCAACAGTTATATCTCATTGGTTACCTTAAATAATTTACCTTTGCATGGTGTACCAACTTCATATATAATTTTGCTTTTCCTTTGTGAGCAAGAACTTTACTTTTCTTGCTGAAACAGGATTTCATTTTGTTCAGCTCAGCACCAAAGCCTCTCAGCTGCAGTGAAATTAAACATTTTCCTTAGCTGATACTTCACCAGCAGTATGCTACAGTCACAATGGATTGAATTCAAATTTAGGCCACACCAAACAACTATCAGAAACAAATATTCTCATCTACCTCTTTCCAAAACAGCTCCTTTGAATTCCTGTTCAATTTCTAAGGATGCCCCTACACTCACTTCAACATTATAGCCTATCCCATTTAACAAAACCTCCTTATCCTCGGTAGCATTTTTTGAGACTCTGGAAGATCTCTGTGGAATTGGTAGAAACGTCTGCTTCTGCAAGACCTGTTGCAAGCATCTAAATTTCACATCTGGTGAACAATAAAAGTAAATAGGGATCCTAAGATGTCTAATACCTTTGTATAAAGGAATTCATTTTTGTATTTACAGAGGATTAAATACCATTCCTCCTAAAAAGAAGTCTGAGAATAGTAAATGTTGGGGATAGATTCTTTCAAAAGCTTTAAGTAATTAATGAGTATACAAATTGGGGGGTGGGTGTTGATGGGGTTTTGTATTGGGGATTTTACTCTGTAAGCTGCTTGTAGCCACCGTGTGTGAGTTGGGCAGCCATCTAAATTTGCTAAATAAATAAAAAACGTAATCTTATTGCTACTTCACTTTATGTCATAACATATTTTTGTTGTATTTAAACATATCACAAATATACAACATTCAGGTGTCATGTGCCATTCAATGCTACAAATCTAGATTTATTGCAAGAATAAATGCACCCTTCCCCAATTAAATAGGTTCGTTTGCAGTGTTTATTATGCTGATTTGGGCACTAAATTCACATTATTCTTCATCTGGCTATTGCCCTGATGTTCCCCTTCTGCTATCAGAGCTCCTCCTTCATTATTTTATTTATTCATCCATTGAAACAGATACATAACATTTTAACTCCCAAAGACAGTAAACAGCCTTGCTTTCAACAAGCTTATTGAAAATAAAAATGTCTGTACACATTTTTAAATGTTATTTAAAGTTACTCAAACTAACAGAAGAGCCCATTCTCTATTAAGAGCGAGCATACAGTCAGGGGACTATCTGTACATTATATTTTGTTTTCTTGTATCTTTCTTTTTTATTCCCATTTTTTTCATTCATATTCTTTGAAATAATTTTTTTTTAACAACTGAGCATATAGGAGCAGTTACTATATGAAGAGCAGTGGAGAAACAGCCAAATATTCATAAATTAAAGTAAGATATTGACATATCCCGATAGCTACAATTAAGCACAACAAATCAATTGTCTATACCTCTTCATTTGAACAAGTTCTCATTACTTCCCATAAACTTTTATGTACATTCATCAGAAGTTTATCTTGGTCAGCTGCATGAAGTTTCAATCTGAAGTATAAATAAATAAATGTCTGTTGGAGTCTGCAGATAGGTTTCTTTTTCTGTTCTTCAATTTTTTCTGAAGATAGAACTGTTGTAGCAGTTTTAAGAGACCAGAAGTATATTAGCTACATATCTTGATTACAAGATGACAACTAAATCTCTAAAACTCAGAATTTCAAGCAGGAACATATAAAAGCAGAAACACCTTGGCTGAGATCCAGTAAAATAAAGGGTGGCTCTACCAGCTTTTCCAGCAGTATCACTGCAAGATTTTCAGACATTTATAAGTAAAGGTTTCAGATACCCTAATACAGAGAGAAACACCTTACAAAAGCTTTGGGGATTCTTCTTTATTTAATTATCCATATAAAGCTTTCTAAAGAAAAAAGCTTGCTTCTAAGAGGTTCTGCTGTTGCTCAACTTCATGAACATCTATTAACTAGCAGCCTACTTAATCTATAGCTTATTTGGATCTCTCAACTTCCTGTTACACAGATTGGCTAGATTTCATTCATAATGTTTAAAGATAATTATTTTCACTCACTTCTGCTTTACCTTCATATCCAAACACTAAAAAGACTGTAGAACTATTCACAGAATGGAACAAGGAAGATTATTGGTAGACATATTACATCACCCTTGTAATCAGCTCTAATCTGGAAGATTTATATAAAAGCTTCTTTATTGGATATCTACTATGCAGCAAGAAAGCAGGCTTTTGGGGGGGGCAGCACATATGTGATTATGGAATACTTCCTTTAAAAAAAAAAATCATGTCTGGTATCTGCATTATAATCCTTGGATTTTTCTCAGGGATTTTATTTGTATAATGCCATACTATGTCCTGCATAGTATAGTAAGTAATCCACAGTTTATATGTGCTCTCCACCTACCCCTGCTTTAGTGAAGCTACCAGAATGTCTCCCTGGGCATAGCTATGGAATACAGAAAAAGCTAAATATAGTTAAGAAACCCAAGTTATCAGCTTTCTAGTGAATGCAGAAAAAGCCAGTATCTTCACAAAAGGGATGTTGTTCTGTGCACAAAATGTTCCATACACAGAAAAATTGTGTTTGTGTTGTCCATGCCCAAATTGAAACGTGTGTTTTGAACATTTAAGCAGGGTTGTTTTGTTCTGGATTTAGACTGAAACACATGTGTTCCAGAAAAAAAGCCTGAACTGAAGAGTTTCCATGGTGATGATGTGTGTGGACATCAGTGGCAGCAGCTGAGGAGAGGCAGGGAATATAGGGTGCTAGAAGTCTGTTCCTTACTGCTTAAACCACTGAATTAAGAAACAGGTTGGTATACCTGTTTAGTATACTGGCAGTAGAAGCAAGGACTGAAAAACGTCAGGGGTGGGAGAGAAGACAAGGTGCTGGAAAGATCAGCATGCAGGCGGTCAAGGGGATAGGCTGTGCTGGTACATTGGCAATGCCTGAGATGAGGCAGGAAAGGGAAAGCACTGTGAAGATTGGGGCAGATGCCAAAGACTGGTGCACATGCCAAAAGAAAAAGGAGGAGGAGGAGGAGGAGGAGGAGGAGGAGGAGGGGACACAGCAAGTGACATGCATCAGCCATGCCCTACTCATCCCATCAAATCAATTCAGGATCCCTCCCGATATTGTTTTGGCTGAAAACTGCAAAAATCAAAACATTCCTTATTTGTGTCCAGAGCAAAACAGTTTCCATGTCATGCACAGCTCTACTTTGTAATATCTTTGCTTATAAGAGTTTGTAAGAATTTCTGAAAGAATTACAATGCACACATTAAAGAGATCAACTGATATCAGTAACTTTGCAGTTCATATGAAGGTTCAAATACACGTTAATAAAAATAAGGTCTGAAGAAAAAATGGAAACATCTTACTCTTCTATTATCTTGTAAAGAGTTTGACAATCTTCATTATAAACCTGTAATTTGGGATGATAGATGCACTGGCTGAGAATCTCATCTTCTGGGATAGATGCTATCTTGACTGCGTGCTATAGAAAAGAAAGACATATAGTTCCTTAAGAAGAAATCTTATTAGAATTAGAATGTTCCTGTTTAGAATCTGGAAAACAGATATGCACAAAATTGAATCAGAAGCAATACCTAATTGCTTCTTTCTTACTACAGGAATTCCAAAGAGGCCAAATTTGCACAATGGCTTTTTTAGAACTATCACAACAAGATTAAACTAAACTTTGGCTGAACTGAATGTTAATAAAGATGTAGGCTGTTTATAATGGCTGAATGAGATCTATGAAGGTCAGTATGCACACTGATGAATCTTAAATAATATCTAATTTAAAGCAGTAGGCTTGTTTTAATGCTAAAATCAAATACTTACTTATATCACTACATAGTTCCTGGGACCACTCACAAATATTTTACACACACACACACCTTGAGAGGAAGCTGACTCTGGCGAGGCATCT